TGAGGCTCTGGGGACGTGAACCCAGAACGTTTCACGTTGTTAGTGTTTTTAGTCTCCTCCGCAGGAGCTTTGGGCTTTCATCAACCACAGCCCAGAGAGTTCAGAGACCAGAGCGAGACCAGAGCGAGAGACCAGAGCGAGAGACCAGAGCGAGAGACCAGAGCGAGAGACCATAGAGAGATACCAGAGCGAGAGACCAGAGCGAGACCAGAGAGAGAGCAAAGAGAGATACCAGAGCGAGAGACCAGAGCGAGACCAGAGAGCGAGACCAGAGAGAGAGACCAGAGCGAGACCAGAGCGAGACCAGAGCGAGACCAGAGCGAGACCAGAGCGAGACCAGAGCGAGACCAGAGCGAGAGACCAGAGCGAGAGACCAGAGCGAGACCAGAGCGAGAGACCAGAGCGAGACCAGAGCGAGACCAGAGCGAGACCAGAGCGAGACCAGAGCGAGAGACCAGAGCGAGAGACCAGAGCGAGACCAGAGCGAGACCAGAGCGAGAGACCAGAGCGAGACCAGAGCGAGAGACCAGAGAGAGAGCAAAGCGAGAGACCAGAGCGAGACCAGAGCGAGACCAGAGCGAGACCAGAGCGAGAGACCAGAGCGAGAGACCAGAGCGAGAGACCAGAGCGAGACCAGAGCGAGACCAGAGCGAGAGACCAGAGAGAGACCAGAGCGAGACCAGAGCGAGAGACCAGAGAGAGAGCAAAGAGAGATACCAGAGCGAGAGACCAGAGCGAGACCAGAGCGAGACCAGAGCGAGACCAGAGCGAGAGACCAGAGTGAGAGACCAGAGCGAGACCAGAGCGAGAGACCAGAGCGAGAGACCAAAGCGAGAGACCAGAGCGAGACCAGAGCGAGAGACCAGAGCGAGAGACCAGAGCGAGACCAGAGCGAGACCAGAGCGAGAGACCAGAGCGAGAGACCAGAGCGAGAGACCAGAGCGAGAGACCAAAGAGAGATACCAGAGCGAGAGACCAAAGAGAGATACCAGAGCGAGAGACCAGAGCGAGACCAGAGAGAGAGCAAAGAGAGATACCAGAGCGAGAGACCAGAGCGAGACCAGAGAGCGAGACCAGAGAGAGAGACCAGAGCGAGACCAGAGCGAGACCAGAGCGAGACCAGAGCGAGACCAGAGCGAGACCAGAGCGAGACCAGAGCGAGAGACCAGAGCGAGAGACCAGAGCGAGACCAGAGCGAGAGACCAGAGCGAGACCAGAGCGAGACCAGAGCGAGACCAGAGCGAGACCAGAGCGAGAGACCAGAGCGAGAGACCAGAGCGAGACCAGAGCGAGACCAGAGCGAGAGACCAGAGCGAGACCAGAGCGAGAGACCAGAGAGAGAGCAAAGAGAGATACCAGAGCGAGAGACCAGAGCGAGACCAGAGCGAGACCAGAGCGAGACCAGAGCGAGAGACCAGAGCGAGAGACCAGAGCGAGACCAGAGCGAGAGACCAGAGCGAGACCAGAGCGAGAGACCAGAGAGAGACCAGAGCGAGACCAGAGCGAGAGACCAGAGAGAGAGCAAAGAGAGATACCAGAGCGAGAGACCAGAGCGAGACCAGAGCGAGACCAGAGCGAGACCAGAGCGAGAGACCAGAGTGAGAGACCAGAGCGAGACCAGAGCGAGAGACCAGAGCGAGAGACCAGAGCGAGAGACCAAAGCGAGAGACCAGAGCGAAACCAGAGCGAGAGACCAGAGCGAGAGACCAGAGCGAGACCAGAGCGAGAGACCAGAGCGAGAGACCAGAGCGAGAGACCAGAACGAGAGACCAGAGCGAGAGACCAGAGCGAGAGACCAGAGCCAGAGAGACCAGAGCGAGAGACCAGAGCGAGACCAGAGCGAGAGACCAGAGCGAGACCAGAGCGAGAGACCAGAGAGAGACCAGAGCGAGACCAGAGTGAGAGACCAGAGAGAGAGCAAAGAGAGATACCAGAGCGAGAGACCAGAGCGAGACCAGAGAGAGAGCAAAGAGAGATACCAGAGCGAGAGACCAGAGCGAGAGGCCAGTGCGAGAGACCAGAGCGAGACCAGAGCGAGAGCAAAGAGAGAGACCAGAGCGAGAGCAAAGAGAGAGACCAGAGAGAGACCAGAGAGAGAGCAAAGAGAGATACCAGAGCGAGACCAGAGAGAGAGCAAAGAGAGATACCAGAGCGAGAGACCAGAGCGAGACCAGAGCGAGACCAGAGCGAGAGACCAGAGTGAGAGACCAGAGCGAGACCAGAGCGAGAGACCAGAGCGAGAGGCCAGTGCGAGAGACCAGAGCGAGACCAGAGCGAGAGCAAAGAGAGAGACCAGAGCGAGAGCAAAGAGAGAGACCAGAGAGAGACCAGAGCGAGAGACCGGAGCGAGAGACTGGAGCAAGAGACTGGAGCGAGAGACCGGAGCGAGACACCAGAGCGAGACCAGAGCGAGAGCAAAGAGAGAGACCAGAGCGAGAGCAAAGAGAGAGACCAGAGCGAGAGACCAGAGCGAGAGGCCAGTGCGAGAGACCAGAGCGAGAGCAAAGAGAGAGACCAGAGCGAGAGCAAAGAGAGAGACCAGAGAGAGACCGGAGCGAGAGACCGGAGCGAGAGACTGGAGCGAGAGACTGGAGCGAGAGACCGGAGCGAGACACCAGAGCGAGAGACCAGAGAGAGACCAGAGCGAGACACCAGAGCGAGAGAAAAGAGCGAGAGACCAGAGAGAGACCAGAGCGAGACACCAGAGCGAGAGAAAAGAGCGAGAGACCAGAGAGAGACCAGAGAGAGATACCAGAGCGAGAGACCAGAGCGAGACCAGAGCGAGACCAGAGAGAGAGCAAAGAGAGATACCAGAGCGAGAGACCAGAGCGAGACCAGAGCGAGACCAGAGCGAGAGACCAGAGTGAGAGACCAGAGCGAGACCAGAGCGAGAGACCAGAGCGAGAGGCCAGTGCGAGAGACCAGAGCGAGAGCAAAGAGAGAGACCAGAGAGAGACCAGAGAGAGAGCAAAGAGAGATACCAGAGCGAGACCAGAGAGAGAGACCAGAGCGAGAGACCAGAGCGAGAGACCAGAGCGAGAGACCAGAGCGAGAGACCAGAGCGAGAGACCAGAGTGAGAGACCAGAGCGAGACCAGAGCGAGAGACCAGAGTGAGAGACCAGAGCGAGACCAGAGCGAGAGACCAGAGCGAGAGGCCAGTGCGAGAGACCAGAGGAGACCAGAGGGAGAGCAAAGAGAGAGACCAGAGCGAGAGCAAAGAGAGAGACCAGAGAGAGAGCAAAGAGAGATACCAGAGCGAGACCAGAGAGAGAGCAAAGAGAGATACCAGAGCGAGAGACCAGAGCGAGACCAGAGCGAGACCAGAGCGAGAGACCAGAGTGAGAGACCAGAGCGAGAGACCAGAGCGAGAGGCCAGTGCGAGAGACCAGAGCGAGACCAGAGCGAGAGCAAAGAGAGAGACCAGAGAGAGAGCAAAGAGAGAGACCAGAGAGAGACCAGAGCGAGAGACCGGAGCGAGAGACTGGAGCGAGAGACTGGAGCGAGAGACTGGAGCGAGAGACCGGAGCGAGACACCAGAGCGAGACACCAGAGCGAGACCAGAGCGAGAGCAAAGAGAGAGACCAGAGCGAGAGCAAAGAGAGAGACCAGAGCGAGAGCAAAGAGAGAGACCAGAGCGAGAGACCAGAGCGAGAGGCCAGTGCGAGAGACCAGAGCGAGAGCAAAGAGAGAGACCAGAGCGAGAGCAAAGAGAGAGACCAGAGAGAGACCGGAGCGAGAGACCGGAGCGAGAGACCGGAGCGAGAGACTGGAGCGAGAGACTGGAGCGAGAGACCGGAGCGAGACACCAGAGCGAGAGACCAGAGCGAGACACCAGAGCGAGAGAAAAGAGCGAGAGACCAGAAAGAGACCAGAGCGAGACACCAGAGCGAGAGAAAAGAGCGAGAGACCAGAGAGAGACCAGAGAGAGAGCAAAGAGAGATACCAGAGCGAGAGACCAGAGCGAGACCAGAGAGAGAGCAAAGAGAGATACCAGAGCGAGAGACCAGAGCGAGACCAGAGCGAGAGACCAGAGTGAGAGACCAGAGCGAGACCAGAGCGAGAGACCAGAGCGAGAGGCCAGTGCGAGAGACCAGAGCGAGAGCAAAGAGAGAGACCAGAGAGAGACCAGAGAGAGAGCAAAGAGAGATACCAGAGCGAGACCAGAGAGAGAGCAAAGAGAGATACCAGAGCGAGAGACCAGAGCGAGAGACCAGAGCGAGACCAGAGCGAGAGACCAGAGTGAGAGACCAGAGCGAGACCAGAGCGAGAGACCAGAGCGAGAGGCCAGTGCGAGAGACCAGAGCGAGACCAGAGCGAGAGCAAAGAGAGAGACCAGAGCGAGAGCAAAGAGAGAGACCAGAGAGAGACCAGAGCGAGAGACCGGAGCGAGAGAATGGAGCGAGACCAGAGCGAGAGCAAAGAGAGAGACCAAAGAGAGAGACAAGAGAGAGACCAGAGAGAGACCAGAGAAAGACCAGAGAGAGATGAGAGAGAGACCAGAGAGAGAGACCAGAGAGATAGACAAGAGAGAGAGACCAGAGAGAGACCAGAGAGAGAGACCAGAGAGAGACAAGAGAGAGAGACCAGAGAGAGAGACCAGAGAGAGAGACCAGAGAGAGAGACCAGAGAGAGAGACCAGAGAGAGAGACCAGAGAGAAAGACCAGAGAGAGACCAGAGAAAAAGACCAGAGAGAGAGACTAGAGTAAGACCAGAGTGAAAGACCAGAGTGAAAGACCAGAGAGAGAGACCAGAGAAAAAGACCAGAGAGAGAGACTAGAGTAAGACCAGAGTGAAAGACCAGAGTGAAAGACCAGAGAGAGAGACAAGTGAAAGACCAGAGAGAGAGACCAGAGAGAAAGACCAGAGTAAGACCAGAGAAAGACAAAGAGGATGTGGAACTTTGTGACAGTTTCAGTTTTAGACGAGAGAGAGAGCTTCCCTCGGCCACACTGTGAAACTACAGTCTGTTTGGAAGGTTGTGATGTCACACTACAGTAGTTAGTCCCGTGCCTGTTTAGACGTGCGGTTTCCCAGTTCGTCTGCGATCTTCTGCCACCGTCTCGACTCCACTTCCTCCGGCGGAAACTTCAACAGCAGCTGCTCCAGTTTTTTCTGTCGTCATTAAAGAAGAGAGTATTTTATACGTGAGTAAACAGTGAAAGATATTGTGCTTAACAGCCCTGACTCTCAGCCAATCAGGGCTCAGCCAATCAACAAAGCATCAAATAGTAACTCACAGGGATCTTTCTGAGGTCAATAATTTACTCTCCGGTGGTCTCAGTCCCTCTCCGGACTCCCTCCCTCTCCGGTCTCTCTCTCCGGTCTCTCTCTCTCCGGTCTCTCTCTCCGGTCTCTCTCTCTCCGGTCTTTCTCTGTCCGGTCTCTCTCTGTCCGGTCTCTCTCTGTCCGGTCTCTCTCTGTCCGGTCTCTCTCTGTCCGGTCTCTCTCTGTCCGGTCTCTCTCTCTGTCCGGTCTCTCTCTCTGTCCGGTCTCTCTCTCTGTCCGGTCTCTCTCTCTGTCCGGTCTCTGTCCGGTCTCTCTCTGTCCGGTCTCTCTCTCCCTCTGGTCTCTCTCTCCCTCTGGTCTCTCTCTCCCTCTGGTCTCTCTCTCCCTCTGGTCTCTCTCTCCCTCTGGTCTCTCTCTCCCTCTGGTCTCTCTCTCCCTCTGGTCTCTCTCTCCCTCTGGTCTCTCTCTCTCTCTCCGGTCTCTCTCTCTCTCTCCGGTCGGTCTCTCTCTCCGGTCTCTCTCTCCGGTCTCTCTCTCCGGTCTCTCTCTCCGGTCTCTCTCTCTCCGGTCTCTCTCTCTGGTCTCTCTCTCCGGTCTCTCTCTCTGGTCTCTCTCTCCGGTCTCTCTCTCCGGTCTCTCTCTCCGGTCTCTCTCTCTCCGGTCTCTCTCTCCGGTCTCTCTCTCTCCGGTCTCTCTCTCCGGTCTCTCTCTCTGGTCTCTCTCTCCGGTCTCTCTCTCTGGCCCTTTGATACCAGGTGGATGTGGTTCCGTACCTGCTCCTCCACGGTCCACAGCTGGTTGAAAGTGTCAGATTTGTTTGGGAGACAGATCCTTCCTCTGATCATCTGCACAAACACAGGAACAAACCAGGTCATACGAGGCCTTTGCAAACACCGAGAAGACGGGAACATAAACTGTATCCAGAGAGGACGAGAGTGTGACATCACCACAGTGTTAGCCTGTGGTGATGTCACACTCTCGTCCTCTCTGGATGAGAGTGTGACATCACCACAGTGTTAGCCTGGATCTGGACATAAACAAGCTGGAGCCAACTCACAGGTTCATTTAAATGAGTTTACTTTTACATGCAAGGCAATAAAAGCCAGAGTTTGAGCAAAACTTTGTCCATGAGTACTTCCCCATTGGGTTTCCTACATGGTACTCTCTCTCTCTCCTCCTCTCTCTTTCCATCTCTGTCTCTCCTTCTCCTCCAGTCTCTCCTTCCCGGCCTCTCTCCCTCTCCGTCTCTCTCTCCTCCTCTGTCTCTCCTCCTCTCTCTCTCCTCTGTCTCTCTCTCCTCCTCTGTCTCTCTCTCTCCTTCTCCTCTGTCTCTCTCTCCTCCTCTCTCTCTCCCTCTCCGTCTCTATCTCCTCCTCTGTCTCTCCTCCTCTCTCTCTCTCCTCTTCTCCTCCTCTCTCTCTCCTCCTCTCTCTCCTCTGTCTCTCTCCTCCTCTCTCCTCCTCCTCTGTCTCTCTCTCTCTCCTCCTCCTCTGTCTCTCTCCTTCTCCTCCTCTCTCTCTCTCCTCCTCTCTCTCCTCCTCTGTCTCTCTCTCCTCCTCCTCCTCTCTCTCCTCCTCCTCCTCTCTCTCTCTCCTTCTCCTCTCTCCTCCTCTCTCTCTCCTCTGTCTCTCTCTCTCCTTCTCCTCTCTCTCTCTCTCTCCTCTCTCTCTCTCCTCCTCCTCCTCTCTCTCTCCTTCTCCTCTCTCTCTCCTTCTCCTCCTCTCTCTCTCCTCCTGTATCTCACCTGTGTCTGGGCGCTGCTGTCCGGGCCGTCGCTTGTGGGCAGAGGAGAGTACACGCTGGAACTCTCTCCTCCTCTGTCTCTCTCGCCTCCTCTGTATCTCTCTCTCCTCCTCTATCTCTCTCTCTCCTCCTCTGTCTCTCTCTCTCCTCCTCCTCTCTCTCTCTCCTCCTGTGTCTCACCTGTGTCTGGGCGCTGCTGTCCGGGCCGTCGCTTGTGGGCAGAGGAGAGTACACGCTGGAACTCTCTCCTCCTCTGTCTCTCTCGCCTCCTCTGTCTCTCTCTCTCCTCCTCTGTCTCTCTCTCTCCTTCTCCTCCTCTCTCTCTCCTCCTGTGTCTCACCTGTGTCTGGGCGCTGCTGTCCGGGCCGTCGCTCGTGGGCAGAGGAGAGTACACGCTGGAACTCTCTCCTTCTTTTTTGGACTCGACAGGACTTTTGGGTCGAAGAGGCAAACCTGAGACCGACACATGACATTAGTCTGAGAAGCTTTAAAGACAACAGGAAGTGCACGTTTAAGAGGCCCATTTGTCCTTAAAGCTGGGGTACTTAATCTTTTTACTTTCAGTCATTTTGATAGTTTTTAGTTTTGGAAGCGTTTCCTCTGCTCATGTTCTTTGTCTTCCTAACTGCAAATACTTTTTATGAAACTATAATAATTTTGAAATGTGAGTAGTTCTACCTTTAACGCCCCGAGCCGTCGATTTGACTGCTCCATTCATTTACATATAAGAATCCAAAGTATCTACGGCAGTTAAAGCAAATCTTCTCCAGGTCCTGGTTCAGAGCTAGCGCTAGTTACCATAGCAACGCACTGTTTACGAGACAGCCGTTAGCATTCACAGCAGTTTTTGAGTTACTCGTGTGATTTTAATGGTGTTTAACCCTTTAATGTTCACTACTGGAAGAAAGCAAGATGTAGGAGCACTAATAACAATAATTACATTTATATTTTATTTTATTTTTCTAACCCCTTCATTTTGAATCATAGGCTTCAAAACAGTTGAGATGCGGCGTGATAGTAAACGTGAGAGGTGCCCTAATGAGGTAGACTTTATGTTTTCATTTATGTATTTTTATCTGAATTATTATAATATATATTTTCATTTTTGTCTCACTGTAATCTTTTCCTTTGCATTTTAATCACTGCCTTGTTTCTGAATTATGACATTTTGACCAATGGAAATCTACAGTATAAAAAGTGTCTCAGTTCCAAACTTAATTCTAGCAGATTTAGAGACTGATAAAGTGATAATGGTGCCTCTGCAGATAAAGATTAATAAATGGATATTTCTCGTCATATTCACAGTTTAATCATGTTTTAAAGATTGCTCAGTGATGGAAGCAGTATTTTACAGTTAAGAAATAGAGACATGGATTGTGACTCCTTTAAGAGTAAAAACAAGCTCTAAAACATTTTCTGTGGAATTAAAAACGTTCCGAGGTTCAAACAAACAAACTCTCACCTTTGTCGAATATCAGCTGCAGTCTCCGGGTTTGGCGTTTCTTGCAGAACTCTCTCTGGAAGTCTCCCAGCCCCGAGGTGTACTGGTCCCAGGAGACGTCCGGGAGCTGCACCACCCTCTGCGGACACGGCAGGCCCAGGCTCACCTGCAGCACAGGGACGCAGCACAGGGACTGAGCACAGGGACGCAGCACAGGGACGCAGCACAGGGACGCAGCACAGGGACTGAGCACAGGGACACTGCACAGGGACTGAGCACAGGGACACTGCACAGGGACACTGCACAGGGACACAGCACAGGGACTGAGCACAGGGACGCATTACAGGGACACCGCACAGGGACACAGCACAGGGACACAGCACAGGGACACAGCACAGGGACACAGCACAGGGACACAGCACAGGGACACAGCACAGGGACACAGCACAGGGACTGAGCACAGGGACACAGCACAGGGACACCGCACAGGGACACCGCACAGGGACGCAGCACAGGGACGCAGCACAGGGACACAGCACAGGGACACAGCACAGGGACACAGCACAGGGACACAGCACAGGGACACAGCACAGGGACACAGCACAGGGACGCAGCACAGGGACGCAGCACAGGGACGCAGCACAGGGACGCAGCACAGGGACGCAGCACAGGGACGCAGCACAGGGACACAGCACAGGGACACAGCACAGGGACACAGCACAGGGACACAGCACAGGGACACAGCACAGGGACACAGCACAGGGACACAGCACAGGGACACAGCACAGGGACTGAGCACAGGGACACAGCACAGGGACACCGCACAGGGACACAGCACAGGGACGCAGCACAGGGACACAGCACAGGGACACAGCACAGGGACACAGCACAAGGACACAGCACAGGGACACAGCACAGGGACACAGCACAGGGACACAGCACAGGGACACAGCACAGGGACACAGCACAGGGACACAGCACAGGGACTGAGCACAGGGACACAGCACAGGGACTGAGCACAGGGACGCAGCATTGGGACACGGCACAGGGAAAGCACTCTCTCCTCCTCTCCACTCTCCTCTCTCCTCTCCTCCTCTCCTCCTCTCTCCACTCTCTCCTCTCCTCCTCTCTCCACTCTTTCTCTCCACTCTCTCCTCTCTTCCTCTCTCTCCTCTCCTCCTCTCTCCACTCTTTCTCTCCACTCTCTCCTCTCTTCCTCTCTCTCCTCTCCTCCTCTCTCCACTCTTTCTCTCCACTCTCTCCACTCTTTCCTCTCCTCTCCACTCTCTCCACTCTTTCCTCTCCTCCTCTCTCTCCTCTCCCACTCTCCACTCTTTCCTCTCCCACTCTATCCACTCTCTCCTCTCTCCACTCTTTCCTCTCCTCCTCTCCACTCCACTCTCTCCTCCTCTCTCACTCCTCTCCTTTCTCCTCTCTCCACTCTCTCTTCCTCCTCTCCTCTGCAGCTAAAACCTTCAACAGTCTTCCTGTAAATGTGAGACAGGCTTCTTCTCTGTTCAAACCCAGGTTAAAAATGGTTCATGATTCTAACGCCTTGTGTGACTGCTTCTCTCTTGTTGTTCATCCCTTTGAGTTTGTTGTGTATGAACTGTGCTACACAAATAACCTTGGGTCCAGAACGACAACAGAACCCAGAGAGAGCGTCACCTGCTCCTGCAGCTGCTCCACGAAGGTGATGGGGTCCTGCAGAGCCTCTCGCTGGTGTCTGGACAGAGTCTCCAGGTCCAGAATGGCCTGAGTCCTCTGGGCCTCCAGGACTCCGATGGTCTGCAGCAGCCTCTGGTAACTGCACGACAACAAAAGTGAGTAAGTTTATTTGTATAGCGCCTTTCCAAAGACCAGAGTCACAAAGCGCTTTACAATTGTGGCCGTTTGTCTGTCACTCCACACAGAGAGCGGGCGCGTCAGTACAAGTTTTTAGTGGTAGTTGAAACCGGAGCACCCGGAGGAAACCTATGCGAACACGGGGAGAACATGCAAACTCCACTCAGAAAATACTGCATCATGTTCAATGTGCAATACTGCAACTTCACTGTATCTACTCCTTACCCAGCCCCATGTACAGTATGTACCTTTGCACGATACACTTTTTGAAGAATTTACAGCTTAAGAAACATAGCAGCGACTTATTTTGTATTGTGTGCTTTTACTGCTGTCCTGTCTGTGCGTTGCAACACTGAAATTTCCCCCACTACAGGACAAATAAAGGATCTTTCTGTCTCTCACTGCAACGTTTTCAGATATTGTTCCGTTCTCTTCACACGATGACGAGGGAAGCAAGACACGGGGAGAACATGCAAACTCCACACAGACAGGCCTGGAGGTGGGAATCGAACCCAGGACCTTCTTGCTGTGAGGCACAAGCTCTAACCACCACTCAGTCATAAGACAGCAGGAGGAATAGAAGTGTTTCAGTTTGTTATGGCGGATTCACAGCAGGTTTATTTGGGTCCGTGCCTTTCACGTATTCAACAGACTTCATGACACCTTCAGCAGCGTCTTGTGACTTCTGCATGAGCTGTAGTTTTGTGTTGCTGTAAATATGGTTGTCACACATATTGGTCGTCTCTCAGTTGGTCAATAGTCACAGTTATGACCAGTCAAATCAATAAAACATGTTTATAATAATAAATATAAATGATGATTGATGGAGACAGAGGACTGAGACGTGCAGCGAGGGGGAAGGAATCAACGAAACAGAAATGTTCAGTGAAACGCAGTGTGTGACTCAACTTCATTTACAACAGAGTGGAAGAGAACTGGACCTGAGCAGACGAGAGAGACTGTGGAGGAGAGGGGGAGAGAGGAGAGGGGGAGAGAGGAGAGGCGGAGAGAGGGGAGAGGGGGAGAGAGGGGAGAGGGGAGAGAACTGGAGAAGAGTGAGAACAACACAGTGTGTAAGAGGTCTGGACCTGAGCAGATGAGAGAGACTGTGGAGGAGAGGGGGAGAGAGGAGAGAGAGAAGGGCTGAGGGAGGGAGAGGAGAGAGAGCTGGGGGAGAGTGGGGGAGAGAAAGGAGAGGGACCTGGGGGAGAGTGGGGAGAGAGGAGAGCTGGGGGAGACAAGGGAGAGAGAGGATAGCTGGGGGAGACAAGGGAGAGAGAGGATAGCTGGGGGAGACAAGGGAGAGAGGATAGCTGGGGGAGACAAGGGAGAGAGAGGATAGCTGGGGGAGACAAGGGAGAGAGGATAGCTGGGGGAGACAAGGGAGAGAGAGGATAGCTGGGGGAGACAAGGGAGAGAGGATAGCTGGGGGAGACAAGGGAGAGAGGATAGCTGGGGGAGACAAGGGAGAGAGAGGATAGCTGGGGGAGAGAGGGGAGAGAGAGGATAGCTGGGGGAGAGAGGGGAGAGAGAGGATAGCTGGGGGAGAGAGGGGAGAGAGAGGATAGCTGGGGGAGAGAGGGGAGAGAGAGGATAGCTGGGGGAGAGAGGGGAGAGAGGATAGCTGGGGGAGAGAGAGAGCTGGGGAGAGAGAGGATAGCTGGGAGAGAGAGGGGAGAGAGAGGATAGCTGGGGGAGAGAGGGGAGAGAGAGGATAGCTGGGGGAGACAAGGGAGAGAGAGGATAGCTGGGGGAGACAAGGGAGAGAGAGGATAGCTGGGGGAGACAGGGGAGAGAGGATAGCTGGGGGAGAAGGGAGAGAGGATAGCTGGGGGAGACAGGGGAGAGAGGATAGCTGGGGGAGAGAGGGGAGAGAGAGGATAGCTGGGGGAGAGAGGGGAGAGAGAGGATAGCTGGGGGAGAGAGGGGAGAGAGAGGATAGCTGGGGGAGAGAGGGGAGAGAGAGGATAGCTGGGGGAGAGAGAGGATAGCGGGGGAGAGAGAGGATAGCTGGGGGAGAGAGAGGGAGAGAGAGGATAGCTGGGGGAGAGAGGGGAGAGAGAGGATAGCTGGGGGAGAGAGGGGAGAGAGAGGATAGCTGGGGGAGAGAGAGGGGAGAGAGAGGATAGCTGGGGGAGAGAGGGAGAGAGAGGATAGCTGGGGATAGCTGGGGAGAGAGGGGAGAGAGAGGATAGCTGGGGGAGAGAGGGGAGAGAGAGGATAGCTGGGGGAGAGAGGGGAGAGAGAGGATAGCTGGGGGAGAGAGGGGGAGAGAGGGGAGAGAGAGGATAGCTGGGGGAGAGAGGGGAGGGGGAGAGAGGATAGCTGGGGGAGAGAGGGGAGAGAGAGGATAGCTGGGGGAGAGAGGGGAGAGAGAGGATAGCTGGGGGAGAGAGGGGAGAGAGAGGATAGCTGGGGGAGAGAGGGAGAGAGAGGATAGCTGGGGGAGAGAGGGGAGAGAGAGGATAGCTGGGGGAGAGAGGGGAGAGAGAGGATAGCTGGGGGAGAGAGGGGAGAGAGAGGATAGCTGGGGGAGAGAGGGAGAGAGAGGATAGCTGGGGGGAGAGAGGGAGAGAGAGGATAGCTGGGGGAGAGAGGGGAGAGAGAGGATAGCTGGGGGGGAGAGAGGATAGGGGGAGAGAGAGGATAGCTGGGGGAGAGAGGGGAGAGAGAGGATAGCTGGGGGGAGAGAGGGGAGAGAGAGGATAGCTGGGGGAGAGAGGGGAGAGAGAGGATAGCTGGGGGGAGAGAGGGGAGAGAGAGGATAGCTGGGGGAGAGAGGGGAGAGAGAGGATAGCTGGGGGAGAGAGGGGAGAGAGAGGATAGCTGGGGGAGAGAGGGGAGAGAGAGGATAGCTGGGGGAGAGAGGGGAGAGAGAGGATAGCTGGGGGAGAGAGGGGAGAGAGGATAGCTGGGGGAGAGAGGGGAGAGAGAGGATAGCTGGGGGAGAGAGGGGAGAGAGAGGATAGCTGGGGGAGAGAGGGGAGAGAGAGGATAGCTGGGGGAGAGAGGGGAGAGAGAGGATAGCTGGGGGAGAGAGGGGAGAGAGAGGATAGCTGGGGGAGAGAGGGGAGAGAGAGGATAGCTGGGGGAGAGAGGGGAGAGAGAGGATAGCTGGGGGAGAGAGGGGAGAGAGAGGATAGCTGGGGGAGAGAGGGGAGAGAGAGGATAGCTGGGGGGGAGAGAGGGGAGAGAGGATAGCTGGGGGAGAGAGGGGAGAGAGGATAGCTGGGGGAGGGGAGAGAGAGGATAGCTGGGGGAGAGAGAGGATAGCTGGGGAGAGAGGGGAGAGAGAGGATAGCTGGGGGAGAGAGAGGATAGCTGGGGGAGAGAGGGGAGAGAGAGGATAGCTGGGGGGAGAGAGGGGAGAGAGAGGATAGCTGGGGGAGAGAGGGGAGAGAGAGGATAGCTGGGGGAGAGAGGGGAGAGAGAGGATAGCTGGGGGAGAGAGGGGAGAGAGAGGATAGCTGGGGGAGAGGGGAGAGAGAGGATAGCTGGGGGAGAGAGGGGAGAGAGAGGATAGCTGGGGGAGAGGGGAGAGAGAGGATAGCTGGGGGAGAGAGGGGAGAGAGAGGATAGCTGGGGGGAGAGAGGGGAGAGAGAGGATAGCTGGGGGAGAGAGGGGAGAGAGAGGATAGCTGGGGGAGAGAGGGAAGAGAGGATAGCTGGGGGAGAGAGGGGAGAGAGAGGATAGCTGGGGGAGAGAGAGGATAGCTGGGGGAGAGAGGGGAGAGAGAGGATAGCTGGGGGGAGAGGATAGCTGGGGGAGAGGGGAGAGAGAGGATAGCTGGGGAGAGAGAGGATAGCTGGGGGAGAGAGGGGAGAGAGAGGATAGCTGGGGGGAGAGAGGGGGAGAGAGAGGAAGTAGCTGGGGGAGAGAGGGGAGAGAGAGGATAGCTGGGGGAGAGAGGGGAGAGAGAGGATAGCTGGGGGAGACAAGGGCGTTCAACAGATTCACAAAGTCGGCAAAAACAAACCCCTGAAAACTCACTCGGCAAAGTTCGACTGAAGACGATCTTATTTTTTTACCCAAAGACTCCATGAAACTGACAATAACTAGAACGGTATGGATTCAGTGTTAAACCTGGGGAGGGGGGTCCTTGCTGATGGGGGGGGGTCTGGATCCAGGAGATTTAAAGACATTTATTATTGCATTTCCCGGCTGGGTTTGCTCGCCTGGTCTTACCACACCATGGTACTCATTTCATTTCCTACTAAAGGTCTGGGTTTGCTCCATTGACTCCGTGAACAGGTGGGAGGGGCTTACTCCTTTTGCAGATTGAAACCATTGGATCCGAGTTTACTGTGACGTACTGTATGTAATGTATTTAGCCTAGCTTTAGCATTAGCCTAGCTTTAGCCATCTCCTTTGCCGCTAACGGAGCCCGTGGGGAGTAGCGCCACAACATCTTTGCAGCAATGACATTTACTAAACATTCCTCTTGCTCCGGCTTCAGTTTCTTGATATTTGGATTGAACCAGAACAGATTATTTTACACATTCTCCGACAAACTACAACCAGCAAATTCAGCACAAACTCTTGACGTCACCGACACCGACCTACAACACCCGCCTCCCCCGCTCTCTGATTGGTCGGAGGGGATTCAAGCTGTTGTGTTTTATAAAAATAAAAAAAAGAATAGACTAAAGAGAGGCCTGGACGTCCACAGTCAGTCCGTGGTGTGCAGCAAGAAATTAGCTAATTTTTTTAAATATTGTAATTCTGTTTTTTTTAGGGGCTACTTTGTGTCCTGCCTCAAAGCCAGTTGAGTTTAAGATAGGTTTGGGCAAAAGGCGCCCCCTACAGGCTTAAAAGAGAAACGTTTACACACAGAATAAAGCCTTGTTATTGCTGACTGATAGACCACTTATTATTATTACAGGTATATTCTGGGTTCAATGTTTATTATTAAGCAAATTAATGAAATGTAGTCATCCACATCAACCTCTTACTATGATGTTTGCAGCCCCCTGTGGAGCCCTAGAGTATCTAGAGAGAATCACGACCTTCCTCTGTCTAAACTTTATTGTTACATAACAGCGGGACTTCTCCGTCACGAGCGGCGAAGGCAAAGTGACGTGCGGCACCACTTAGAAACGAGTCGTATTTTTAGATTCTCTACTTTTTAAGAGAGAAAAGTGGAAGCAGCAGCAATCAGTCAGAGCCAACTCCTCCACGAGTCCCGGAATCACCTCTAAAAGCAGCAGCAAAAGCAGCAGCAGCAGCGACGGTGGAAATTAAAAAGCCCCAACCATGTTACCTCAAACAATAGGGCTATTCTTAGACACTTCCAGCAAATGCAATAATAGCTGGGTTGACTTAGCGTAGAGCGAGAGGAAGGACAAAAGCAAATCTATTCTACACTTTCCTGAGCTGCACTGTTTAGACTGAAGCAAAACTCAAACCCCCTGTGGGCAGAAACATAAAAAAAAAAAAAAAACAATAATATTTAAGTTACTGTAATTGCAGCTCGGGGGCGTCAAAACTCATTTTAGTCGGGGGACAAAATCAAAAACGTAGGAGCCGATTGGGGCTAAGAGTATCTGTTATAGTTTCTGGTCGATTTGGATTCAACCAAAGGAGAGACTGTGGAAGCTGACCCACATTTACACTGTGGACCCCCGTTATATCTGTATTACTAATAAAACATTATCTGAAGCATGTGTGTGTTTGTTCTGACACAGCTACTACAGTGTCCATGATCATTCAAAATATTATAACAAAAAATATGGATAATTTATGGTGATGACGACGGTATGAGGTAAAAACATTTAACACATTATACATACACTAAGCTAAGCTGTAGCAATAACAATTAAAGTTAAGGTCATTTAGAATAATAAATATGAGGTGGGAGTTTAAAAGCCTTAACTTCTTCCCACTGCTTTCCGAGCTGGATTTTAGTTAATAAAACTAAAAATATTGTATATTTGTATATGATCAGGTATTGTTTCTTGTTCCATTTTGTAGTTGTTCTTCGTTCTTTTTTTGCCAGAGAGAGACCAGAGAGAGAGGCCAGAGAGAGACCAGAGAGAGACCAGAGAGAGACCAGAGAGAGACCAGAGAGAGACCAGAGAGAGACCAGAGAGAGAGGCCAGAGAGAGACCAGAGAGAGACCAGAGAGAGACCAGAGAGAGGCCAGAGAGAGGCCAGAGAGAGGCCAGAGAGAGACCAGAGAGAGACCAGAGAGAGACCAGAGAGAGACCAGAGAGAGACCAGAGAGAGACCAGAGAGAGACCAGAGAGAGACCAGAGAGAGACCAGAGAGAGACCAGAGAGAGACCAGAGAGAGAGACCAGAGAGAGAGACCAGAGAGAGACCAGAGAGAGACCAGAGAGAGACCAGAGAGAGACCAGAGAGAGACCAGAGAGAGGCGAGAGAGAGAGGCCAGAGAGAGGCCAGAGAGAGGCCAGAGAGAGCCAGAGAGAGACCAGAGAGAGAGAGAGAGACCAGAGAGACCAGAGAGAGACCAGAGAGAGGCCAGAGAGAGGCCAGAGAGAGACCAGAGAGAGACCAGAGAGAGAGGCCAGAGAGAGACCAGAGAGAGAGGCCAGAGAGAGACCAGAGAGAGAGACCAGAGAGAGAGGCCAGAGAGAGAGACCAGAGAGAGACCAGAGAGAGACCAGAGAGAGACCAGAGAGAGAGACCAGAGAGAGAGACCAGAGAGAGAGACCAGAGAGAGAGACCAGAGAGAGAAGCCAGAGGGAGACCAGAGAGAGGCCAGAGAGAGACCAGAGAGAGACCAGAGAGAGACCAGAGAGAGACCAGAGAGAGAGACCAGAGAGAGACCAGAGAGAGACCAGAGAGAGACCAGAGAGAGACCAGAGAGAGAGACCAGAGAGAGACCAGAGAGAGACCAGAGAGAAACTAGCTGTGGCTAATACTGACATTTACAGACATGTTTGTGTACTATTTTAAATACAAAGGAGATTTATGGTGCAGCCCGACTTCCACCTACTCTTTGTTATGTTTCAGAGCCAGATGGTCCGACTCAAAGTAGTAGACATCGGGCTCTTCCTCCTCCTCTTCCTCCTCCTCCTCAGCAGCAGCAGCAGTAGTCTTCATCACAGGCTCCTCCGGTTCCACGGTCGCTAACTCGGCGCCGCTAGCCTCGTCGTGCGTCTCCTCCGTGGCCCCGAGTTCACAAACTTCCTCCGTGTTCTCCACCATAGGCACCTCCTCCTCCACCACCACCTCCTCCTCCCCCTCCCCCTCCTTCACCCCGTTATCCGTGACGGCGGGGGGCGAGGGAGAGGGGCAGGCGGGCAGAACCGGCGTCTCCGTCACGCCATTTCTCGCCGCTTTTTTGGGCGGAGTCCGTAGCGTGTACCTGTGTTCGTAAAGCTCGGAGAAAGTAGCATTGCACTCGGTTTGGTCGTGAGGCGGGGAGGGTTTGGTTTGACCTGAGTTTGTGTTGTCACCGCTTGGGTTATTGTTCGCGGCCTCGTGCCTCGGCGGCGTTGAGCTTTGCCCGTTGCTTTTGACGACCTGCTCCTCGCGCGCCAAGCACAAGTGATCGCTTAGCACCTCCTCGGCGGCTTCGGTCACCTCCTGCTCTTTCGCCACGACAAACCCCCCATCGCTAGAAGAGATCGGGGTTCGGCTTTCCATGTCTGAGTTTGAACAAGGCACAGACGGATCCGGGGAGGGAGATGCTGACACCGCCGTCTCGCTAGTTTGACCGCCATTGAGCAAACAGTTCGTGCTGGACGCCGCGCGACTGGTTTCGTCCTGGGTTTTGAGTCCGTTTGAGGCTTTGTGAGAGTTTGTGGTCGCTCCATCACACGGTACTGGTCCAACTCGCGTCTCTACGTCAACTTCTACCTCTTTGATTGTGTCTTTCCCGCCTCCCGAAACAAGGAAATCGTCACCGCTACAGTCCGTTTCCGATGCGTTTTCTTTTGGGACCTGTGGCGGCTGCTTCTCTTCTTCCTGTCCCTGAGTGTCGTTGTTTCGCGAGCACCTTTTGGCCCTTTTCAACAGCGGGGAATTCTCGCGGCTTTTGGCCTTTTCACAGTTCTCAGCCTTGTTCGAATCCTCCTTCTCTAAACAAGACACAGGCCGCTTTCTCGACTGTTCGTTTTCAGAGGAGCTGTTCGAATCGGAGACTTTGTCCGACTCCTCAATGTCCAGTTTCGCCTCCTGCTGCTGCTGCTGCTGCTTGCCGTCCTCTTGCGCCTTGGCGTCGGTCCGGTCCTGCCGCTTCTTGGGGGATCGCGCCCGCGGGGGAGGAGAGGCAGGCGTCTCCTCGGGCTGGGCGATGCTTCGGTTCCTGAGAGTGCGGCCACAGAAGTTCTCGTCCAGTCCATTGAGCCCCGCGGATGACCTGGTGACGCGAGAGGACCTGGACGCGGCCATGCTACGGCGCGGCTACTGCCTCGGCATCCTGCAGCAGTGTCTCGGCACGACCCCGGCACCTGCACACACACACAACAGACAATATAATCAGTCACTTATACGAGAGGTGGGAATTGGCCAAAATGTGACGATTCGAAAGTAATGCGATATTTGGGCCTCAATTATAAAATGATTGTTCTGATTCAGATTCAGTGTATTTGACATATGCAGAGATAAGACAGAGATAACATTCTACGACATTTATGGACATTTATCAGCATTCATGGACCTTGGTCAACTCCCTATGGACCAAAACCTATGTGTCCGATATCTTTTTCTGTCGGGTTCTCTGATCTGTGCTGCTGATTTCAAGGGTTTTGTTATTTAGGGCGATACTAACCGGTGCAAAAGTCCCCAGTGGCATCAGACTTTTGCTTTTCTTATTGTGCAGAACTCATCGTGAACTATGTGTTGCATGAGAAATAATTGAGGTTGGACCATAAAATGAACCAGTAAAAGTCACATATCCACAAAACTCGCTGCTACGTCTATTTTGAGGTCATTTTTAATAGTTTTAATTCTAGACTATGAACACGTCAATCAAATGCTGCATATTTTCAAAACAACATTTATAAAAATGTGCATTTTCCTCCCGAGTTTGACTCCCAGAAAACACATTCACAGAGAAACAACTGAAGACAAAGAGGAATTTAAAGCTCATGTCTAAAACAGAAACATAAGAGTTTACAAATATTCTATAACTTCTGATTATTCGGTTATTGACTTAAAACCATCTGAAGCAGTACCCAGAGGGAAGGAACAGACACAGACCAGAGAATAAACCTGAGTGACCAGAAAAGGACCAGAGAGAGACCAGAGCGAGAGGCCAGAGAGGGACCAGAGCGAGAGGCCAGAGAAGGACCAGAGTGACCAGAAAAGGACCAGAGCGAGAGGCCAGAGAGGGACCAGAGCGAGAGGCCAGAGAGAGACCAGAGCGAGCAACGAGAGAGACCAGAGAGAGAGAGAGACCAGAGAGGGACCAGAGAGAGAAATGAGAGACAGAACAAAGAGACCAGACTGAGACCAGAGAGAGACCAGAGAGAGAGAGACCAGAGAGGGACCAGAAAGAGCAACGAGAGAGAGACCAGAGACTGACCGGAGAGAGAGACCAGAGAGGGACCAGAAAGAGTAACGAGAGAGAGACCAGAGAGACAAGAGAGACAGAACAAAGAGACCAGACTGAGACCAGAGAGAGAGACACAAGAGACCAGAGAGAGAGAGACCAGAGAGGGACCAGAAAGAGCAACGAGAGAGAGACCAGAGAGACAAGAGAGAGACAAGAGAGACAGAACAAAGAGACCAGACTGAGACCAGAGAGAGAGAGAGAGATCAGAGAAGGACCAGAAAGAGCAACGAGAGAGACCAGAGACTGACCGGAGAGAGAGACCAGAGAGGGACCAGAAAGAGCAACGAGAGAGAGACCAGAGAGAGACCATAGTTGACATGTGCTGACAAAGACGATACTGAACGTTGTGACGGATTTCGTTCCATGTAGATTACAAAGAAATTAGCTCTAAACTCTCCAGATATCAGAAGTTGCCATAGCGACCTGGACCGCTGGCTCTACCCTCCATCACGACGCTAGTATTGGCTGTGACGCCCTGGGAACACAACCTAATATACAATAAAGAGATTTATGAATGGTTACACTGCTCCTGCTGCTTTAACCTTGTCGTTTTCTAACCAGCAGAGAAATCTAGAATCCGCATCAGTCGTTTGCAGAAAGCCGCGCAGGAGAGTGACCCAAACACTCTGGGGACTCTTGAACAAATAAAAACATAAATTCACATGTCACAAAAGGCGTAGTAACTTCAGTATTTTCCCACGGCCTGCAGCTCCATCCGTGAGCTCCCCTATAAATAGCGGTGCCCTCCATTCAGAGGTCTCTGAGCAGGTCTGGGTCACTCCTCCTCTGCGTTCTCTGAAGAATATTGATTTTTTTTTTTTCTTCCTGTCGGTGTAACTAAGCAACACACCATCTGTCAAAGCAGGTCTCAGCAAACACAACTGAAGAAATATACATTCAAGAGGTGTAAAAATTTAACTGGTGTGTACATCCGGGACAATATGGCTGCAGCCCCCAGTGTCTCCATGTTTTAATAGACTAAAAGATAAAAGAAGCAAGAAGTATTCCACGGAGCTGAACAAATATGCGGTAGTTTTGGTGAAAATGTGCATCCATCAATTTTCTCCCTTTAATCCATTTCTGGGTCGGGGGGTGGACTCCTGCAGGTGCTGAGTCTCCTTGATTGAGGAGCCTTGATTTTGCAGCGGGGGCTTCAGGCAAAGTGGGGTTAAGTGTCTTGCCCAAGGACACAACGACAGCAGACATCAGGGGGAGTCGTGAAGTAGGTCTCGTGCTTCCATTACTTTTATAAATCATAATTCTAAATAAGACTGAGTGGTTAGCAGATCCTGGGTTCAAATCCCGGTCGGAACAGGGCCTTTCTGGGTGGAGTTTGCATGTTCTCTCCGGGTGCTCCTTCTATGACCAATGCCAACAATTGTAACGCACTCTGTGGCTCTGGTCCGTGACAGGCGCTGTATAAATAAAGATTACTACTTACAATCGCTGAATAAGTCACAAAACGTGCTTTATCACAATATGTTAAGAATCGCGATAATATTAAGATCGTGGCCCAAATATTGCAATACTATTGAATTCTCACATTTTTGCCAATTCCCACGAGCGTCATAGAAGAAAATTCACATCTGATGATTACAGCAGACAGAGTGAGACGTCTGGGGGTCGCTCTCATCTGGTGTGAACAGGTGGAACACAAAACCAGAGGACGAAGACCAGAGGACGAAGACCAGAAGACGAAGACCAGAGGACGAACCGAAGATTCTCTCTGTTCTCTCTCTCTCATCTACCTCGCTGGTCCCTCTCTCTCTCTCGTCTCCCTCGCTGGTCTCTCTCTCGTCTCCCTCGCTGGTCTCTCTCTCTCTCGTCTCCCTCGCTGGTCTCTCTCTCTCTCGTCTCCCTCGCTGGTCCCTCTCTCTCGTCTCCCTCGCTGGTCCCTCTCTCTCGTCTCCCTCGCTGGTCCCTCTCTCGTCTCCCTCGCTGGTCCCTCTCTCGTCTCCCTCGCTGGTCCCTCTCTCGTCTCCCTCGCTGGTCCCTCTCTCGTCTCCCTCGCTGGTCCCTCTCTCGTCTCCCTCGCTGGTCCCTCTCTCTCGTCTCCCTCGCTGGTCCCTCTCTCTCGTCTCCCTCGCTGGTCCCTCTCTCGTCTCCCTCGCTGGTCCCTCTCTCTCGTCTCCCTCGATACAATTCCAATAATACCATGTTGTTTGTTCCAGTCTCTCTCAGATCGACTAAACCTTTAATTTCCCAGGCCCATGTGTGACCCTGAAGCGTCCTCCAGTCAAGATCATGGCTCAAATAAATCTAATGACAGGAGCTCCGTGGCTGAAGGTCGTGCAGACGGTGACATTCAAAGCAAACGTGGATGTGGCTGAAATGTCGTTGTAAAGAATGAAAACGATCCATTAGCGAACCGTCCATTAACTATATGAACAGATATGTGACATACTGAAAAGTAATCGATAAATGATTTAATTACTGTAGATTAATCACATGTATCTGCTGGGAAACTGCTCGCATCTCAAAATATTCACATGTTTATAATAAGGTTACAACATGGATTAATGATTTTATCTGGAAAAGGATTTGTGAGCTTAAACCTTTCTCCACATGGACTAGAGGCCACCCGCGGTACTGCAGTCTAAACCCAGATGGACTAGAGGCCACCTGCAGTACTGCAGTCTAAACCCAGATGGACTAGAGGCCACCTGCAGTACTGCAGTCTAAACCCAGATGGACTAGAGGCCACCTGCAGTACTGCAGTCTAAACCCAGATGGACTGGAGGCCACCCGCAGTACTGCAGTCTAAACCCAGATGGACTAGAGGCCACCCGCTGTACTGCAGTCTAAACCCAGATGGACTAGAGGCCACCCGCAGTACTGCAGTCTAAACCCAGATGGACTAGAGGCCACCCGCAGTACTGCAGTCTAAACCCAGATGGACTAGAGGCCACCCGCTGTACTGCAGTCTAAACCCAGATGGACTAGAGGCCACCCGCGGTACTGAAGTCTAAACCCAGATGGACTGAAGCCACCCGCAGTACTGCAGTCTAAACCCAGATGGACTAGAGGCCACCCGCGGCACTGCAGTCTAAACCCAGATGGACTAGAGGCCACCCGCGGTACTGCAGTCTAAACCCAGATGGACTAGAGGCCACCCGCGGCACTGCAGTCTAAACCCAGATGGACTAGAGGCCACCCGCGGCACTGCAGTCTAAACCCAGATGGACTAGAGGCCACCCGCGGCACTGCAGTCTAAACCCAGATGGACTAGAGGCCACCCGCAGTACTGCAGTCTAAACCCAGATGGACTAGAGGCCACCCGCGGCACTGCAGTCTAAACCCAGATGGACTAGAGGCCACCCGCGGCACTGCAGTCTAAACCCAGATGGACTAGAGGCCACCCGCAGTACTGCAGTCTAAACCCAGATGGACTAGAGGGCACCTTTTTTGATTGGCGAGCTACTTTTATGAAACAGAAATGGCAGAGAGCTACTTTTTCTAACAGTCATAATACAATTGTAGTCTATATAATAACTACAGCCAGTCCTGGAGAATACACATAATATACCATTACAGTATCCCTGCCATAATGACAAGATTTATAGTTAAAATAGATGAGTCAATTATAGTCAAATGTCAACAAGAATTTTATTACCCAATCAACCAATGATTTGTAAAAGGAAAATCATTCAAATTCTTAGGGGTGTCCAAACTTTTTCATGCCACTGTACGTGCCCGTGGTAGCAGCCTGGAATACAAGCCAGGCCCAAAATGTGGCGCGCTGTGACACGGCTTTCAGTCACAATTAGGGCTGGGATAAACGATTATTTTTTAAACGATTAATCTAGCGATTATTTTTTCGATGCATCGATTAATC